AGGCCCAACATCTTCAGTAATGAAAAAGTCAATTGATAGGCAAAGCCATCACAATATCAAAGGCCTAATAATCCCTGCAATTCTGACTCAGGTGACAGTTCACAGGGGTCAGAGTGGCTGACACTGACCTCAAAAGCAGGTTTTAACTATTCAACATACTGAAAGCTGCTGGGCTATCACACCATTAGACTGGAACAAACTGACAAATCAATTCCATCAAGGAGATGACTTTTGGGGGGGAGCGGGGGGGGGGGGGGGGAGGCAGATCCGCCAATCGACAAATCCCAGCATTTCTCACACAGGTGGTTGGACAAAAGCTGAGTACACCATCAAAGACATTTTATATCTATCAAATGCCTTTGTACAAAACCAACTCCCACAATTTCCTTAGGACAGCTCTACAGGTTTTAAACAAGTGGTTTTTGCATATTCAAACCAAGCTATTGAAAAGTGAAACTACTTTTACATTCCTCCATTTCTTGCTTTGTAAGAAAGGGTCTATTTTAATTAAAACCAGAGTAGGCAACAATGTCAATAATCATTAACCAATTTCCAGAAAGATGGTGAAGAATGCAGCATATAAAAATATATTGCTTTCTAGTTGAGAGGAGTGTCCAATGCCTACTGTTAAGAGTCACTTCGGTTGAACAGGTCTGAAATAAATAATGATTCGGTCCCTAATAGCAGAAGGGGAAAAAAAAAAAAAAAAAAAAAATCACTGTAAGAAGATGACAGTAATTTCATGTCCTACTGACAACAGGTTTCTGGTTGACTCTTTAGTTAAAGAAAAATGCAGGTAGACAAAGCCAAATATTTTATTTTAAAACTGTACCTTCTGAAGGTTTACTCAGGCTAGGAAAGGCTCTAAAACTTCCTGACTTTCAGTTAGAATTCAGTGCAGTGCAGGTCTAATGCATGAAGAAAACCTGATAAAATGCAAAGCTATGTATTGGCATTTCCACTCAGCTTGACATTTTAAATCTTCATGCTACAGTTCGAGGAAATGTTTGGAAGCTCGAGAACTGCTCATTTATGTTATAGATTCTACACAAATTTGAGGAACTTTCCTTCCTGATTGTCCAGTGAATGAAGCATTGAACTAGTCACTGAATTAGAATTAGGATTCCAGAACAGTGATGGGTTGATGTAAATGTCTTCATTAAATATCTGCAAAAATTCAAATGCTGCCAAAATTGCTACCAAACCAGCAAATTAAAGCATGCCTTTTTTTTTTTTTTTTTTTTTGGAAGATACTTCAGATCTTACATCAAATTGTTAAAGATATATAGCTTTATTTGTAAACTAGTTTTTAAACGTTTATATTTCTTACTTTAGATTTTTGGAGTATTTCTGCTCTAAACATTTGAACAAAGTAACTGTGAACAATTCAATTAATATTTTTCTTTTCAAGAACTGTCTCGGGGGAAGGGGGGCAGAATCAGGAGTTCCACACACTTTAAAATGCTCTGTAAGAGATGCTGCAAGATTAGAAGCTCAATCAGAAGGGACTGAATCTAATTGCAATTATAGAATTAAAAGCTTTTCCTTCCTAATACTTCTTATCTCTACAAAGCTCTACCTTTGTAAAATTCCACGAACTGAAGAATCACTCTTACCTGTTGCAGAAACTAAGCCCTCCATAAAGAATATTGTATCCCAAAGAATTTTAGCCACAACAACAAACTGACCAACTGAGAGTTTTTCCCTGTTTAGGAAAACTACCCCTTTAAATTACAGGATTAAAGAATTGCTGAAAAATTAGATCGCAAACTATTTAAGATTTCAAAAGATCAGAACACTGGGTGTGGTTCAGAATTGGGCAGGGGACACACACACACAGGGCAGAAAGAGCTGCCAGCAGTTTTGCTGGCCTGCCCAGCTACATGGATTTGGAGCTTTTACGTGGCCCTAAAAAGTGAAACTTCTCAATTGCACCTCCCACAGCAGGCATTCAGCAATCACTTGTCCCCAGTAATCTACCACCCAGAAAGGCAATGCGGACAAACTTTGCAAGACAACTATATCTTCCCTAGAGTGCTGTTTCACCTTTTTACTTATTCCACAGAAATTGGTTTGTAGTTATCTTTCTAAGAAACAGGAACCCAAATACAGATACAGGAATTATATAGTCAGAAGAAAATAAAAGCAACAACAAAATCAAGTATGACGGTGAGTGACTAAATCGAGGAAAGAAACCATTTCTTTTGATCACTGGAAGACAGGGAACAATTTTTGTACAACAGTTACCAGGGTATCTAGGAACTATGCATTCCATTTATGAAGACTGGAAACAGCCTGAAATCTATTTCAAGTGAAGCATCTCTTCACAGAAATGTACTGTCAGTACTTGCCATTCATCTCACCTTCCCAATAATATTTAAAGGAATCTGAAGCTCCTGTGTTGAACTTGAACTACGTTTAGTGCTAAAGCCTTATTTTAAGATTTGTGATCATAAAAGTTAATTTCTCAAACAAACAAACAAAACCAACCTACCCATTCACTCCCACTAAACCCCAAAGAAAAGCCCTGCAGGAGGTTCTGAGCCCAGAGAAAACTAAGACAGGAGTTAAAGTTGTCAAAGCCACTGCCAGGAAACAGGTTAGAGAAGACTGACACTACCACGGACACACATGGCTTGGAGTGAGGTAAAGATAGAGAAGACAATAAATCAAACATTTGCAAGCATCCAATATAATATTTTTCCTTTATATTTCTTCACAAAACCCTGGAAGAGATCATACCTACATTTCCTAAAGTCACACATGGAATTATAAGCAGCTGAGGCAGAAGCTACTTCATCTACTGACACCAATGACACGATGCAGATTATACGCACAATGGGGAGGCCTAAATCTGCATTTCTCAAACCACCACTGCCAGACTATCAATTTAGTTCTACCCACGCCTTCGTAATGTAAAGGTCACTTGTTAAAATATTACGTTAAATTACATTCCAGTGTGGGTTTTTTAATGCCTATTTCTGATGTGTTGAATTCAAAATGTAGATATGGAAATTTTTTAATAATTATTTCCAGTATCTTGCCATTACCATTCCATTTTTCAGCTAAGGTCAGAGAAGCATTTCTTGATAAACTTCCTCTGATCCACCATTCAGGCATTATGTTTTTGTGAAAGAACCATGTTATACTGACAACATTTACCAAAGTGACATTAAAGGCAGATATATTTAGAGAAGTGTTAAAACATAAAGATGTAGGAGAAGAAATGACGACATGTAATCCAGAATTTTAGGAAAGCCCTTGGGAATAGTGTTGAGTGAACTCTTTTTTCTCCATTCATTATTACAGTAAAGTTCATCTACCTCCAGTCTGGGTTGTGCTACTTGTTTCTTTTTGCACTCTCGATCCTCTGTTGCAGCTCTAAACCAAGTCACCATTAGGGAGTCTCTCAGCATTCTATCCACAAGGTCCCTTCCAAAAATGTAGATTATTTTCCCAGTCCTGATGAGGTGTTCTGTATGCATAAACTACATGTCACATTTTTTCTTCAGCTAGCCAAAAACCGAAAAAAAGAAACTACAAATAAGCATATATGATAGATTTTCTTTAAGTCTGATCATCAGTAAAACGGGAGCCTTACATGTATCAATTAAGAAAACAGAGTCAACAAGGATATATAGAAAAGAAAGCCTTGCCACCATTACTGCATTCAGAAAAGCAAACACATATGAAACTACTACTATTCTTGAAAATGCTCTATGATCAGGACTTCTGCATCCAATGCAGCCCGTTGCAGAATAAACCCGTTTCAGGAACCTGAAGTGGAAGTGATTGTTAGTTTATTTTATGTTTCTTACTTTTCTAAAGCCATCCGGGTAAGAACCACTTTCACTGTTAACCTCCCTGACTTTATACACAGCCATTCTGAGATACGCAGGAGTGCCACATTCATGTCAGTGGCATTGGAAACCTGGTAATTGCTCAAATGTCAACATTAGATGGGATTTTCAAAGGTGCTTGGGCAATTACACAATCTTCGATTCCAAAATGTCCCACCGAAAACCCAAGGCACCGTCAACTGCTCTACTGCTGACCACCTTAACAGAAACATTCAACCAATGTAACTATTCAGCAATTCCAAATTTCCTCTCACTAAGCCAAACCTACTCTAAACTCCACATTTCCCTTCTTTTATCTTATTGATACTGTTAACATTATCTATGTATTTATGCCAGCAATACTTTTGTGAAGTGCTATTATTTCCATTTTATATGTCATGTCAATCCAGGCAGAGCAGGAGCTATAAGCTAGCCCTCAATAACGTAACAATAAAATCATAGCTCGTGAATTAAAAATATCTGTGACTTGACCAGAACTTAAAAGTGTGAGTTCAGCATATTTTTTAGTAGTAAAATAAACACTGATTGGATTATTCCCGTTGTGAAAGGATGTTCCATTTTTTAATCTAAATGAAGCAATTATAAAGTTTACAACCTGTCACATCACAACACGCAGGCTCCAGGAGGCTTGCTTCAGAACTGCTGCATGTTGAACATGATGTGAAGCCTCACAAATTCACAAATACCCATTCAGAAAACACGTGAGAAAGACTCCCCAGAAGCAAGGTAATTGAGGGGTACATACCGAACACTACTCTCCTTACACCAAAGGAACACCAAGATTCTGTAGCATAAGAAATGTAAGATGTCGACAAGTACAGCACAGTGTAACTGTTAGAGAAATACTATATGTATTACATGGCATATATACACCAGTAAAGTCCTATCCAAACAAGCAAATTCTGCTACCTTAATCAAAAAGGTAATTTTTTTGGCATACTAAAAATGTCCAGCTTTCAGACACGTTAATTCTAGAGTGGAAGAGTTCCTTTTTGCCCTACCTTCAATTATTTTTGCCCCAAACAGTTAAAGCATACACATCTTATCTAGAAACCAGTATCAAAGCAATCCTGTACAAATCTCTAATTTATTAATACAGCAGGCAAAACTGAAAAGCATTTGACAAGTGACTCTCCTTACCTTCAGCACAGCAATGAATGGTACAAAATTAGCTCTCTGAAGACCATTTTTATAGAGATCTGAAAGAAAGGAAATCAGTACCATTTTGCTACTTAGCCTTAATAACAATGTCAGCTTGTCTTTTAGTCTGGCAAATAAAACTTGGTATTGCTACAGAGAGGAGGAACAAAAGGCGGAAAAGGAGAGCTGAAATTGATTTCTCTTCTTTTGCTGTATGAAAATTCAATACATTCTTAAGGAAGAAAGGAACATCCTGAGAAAGTCTGAAAAAGGCAGGGAGTGAAAGATGACATAAATCTCTAACAAGATATACCTGATTTTTGCGAAGAAATAAGACCAGCATCTGGTTTAAAGTAAGGGTATAGAAAAAAATTTGTAATGCTGGGTATACATGGGTATGATTACAAACCCAAAACTAAGCAACTGCCAAGTCCCAAGTATTTGGCAGAGGGGAAAAACCCAGCATAAACTAAAAATATCCTATCTGAGTTTACAAAGTTAGTATCATTCTTATTCAGTGCACTGTGGTACACTATCTTCCAGCAATTCTACCAGGTCCGCTCCCTTTTCCACAGCAAAAAAAAAAAAGGGTCATCTCTAAGGAGAAAACAAAAACCAAACCAAAACAAAACAAAAACATAAACTTACACAAAGTTGCTAAAATACAACTTGATTTAAAAAAAAATTAGAATGTTGTGCAACAAAATGCAAATCTGCACTCAAAGAAAAGACGAGTTACAAAAACAAACTGCAAAGCAGCATTTTATATCTTACTTCTCTCTATATTTCATAGAGCATAGAGTTCTCTTCTCTGGAAACTATCCAAGCTGCCCAACATGTTCATAACGGAATGATTGGTTCACTGAAAATGTTATCACTTAAACTGTATGATAGGCTGCTCTTTTTCATTAATATTAAGAAGCCTTCTAAAAAGACAGTACCGCACCTATGACTGACAGGAAGAATAAATAAGAGAATACAGACACCTGGCGGAGATATCACCAAAACTCCCCACAAAGACCATGCCAGGTTAATAATACCACCTATATTCCCCATAATGCCTGAAGGCTACAAGTAGGCTACAGCTTTTATGCTCTGCCAACCCCTCATGGTGGACAGAAGATACAGTATGCATGAGAAATCAACAAGACACCTACAAAATGGTTTTCACAAAATTGGATACTTACACAGAAACATTTAGAAAAATTATCAGTGAAGGTGATTCTGCACTCTAATTACTAATGAAGTTGCACGAACTCATGTATCATTTGTAATTCTGCAAAGCATGACAGCTATACACGCATTAAAACAGCAACCAATTGCATATTTACTTGCAAAAAATTAGTGAACATGTAACAGTACTATAAGACAGCTGCTTCTGTCAGTTCTAGTTGATAAGGCTGCAAGTTTTCTATTATGTCTGTTTTGTGAGGATGAGAGAAATAAACTAATTTTGGTGGAGAAATGAAGCCAGGATTCCTCAAACACTGCACCCGAGTATTTCCCTTCATACTCCCCTGGGGCAGAAGTTTAACATGGTTAAACGTATCACTAATGGTCAGCAGCTGGGTACATCTGTTCTCTAATGAAAAAGCCACTTTTCCCCTTTGTATCCAGAAGAAACCAATCTCTCAATTCAGTCGTAAAACTTGATGCAGCATACTATGCTACACCAACTCTCTTTCCTGTGGGAGGATTTCAGACTCACCCCACGAGCATGCAGGGGTAGTGAGAAGGGAGGAAGAGACAGGCACTGCAACATAGCTCAGTTCTGGAGACACCACTCTTGACATTCTCTGTTGAGTAGCTACTACAAGTGGACGTCTTTCAGGCTGACAGTGACTTCTGTATTAAAACCCATATGACAATAATAGTCACAAACTGACATCTCAGTTTATGATGTGGGATACAATCCCCAAGTTACGATAAAAATCTCTCCTGAACTTTAAAGAGTACTGCTTAAAAAACCACAAGGGTGGCTCCCAACTGAGTAAGGCACTAGCATCCAGTTTATCTGTAGTTAACACAACTACAGTCATTATGATTTCATCTTGATTGCTCAAACACAGAAAATAAACCAATGGGAAATTATTTCCTGCTCTAGTAAAAATATTTGAGTGTTTTCCTTTTTTTTTTTTTTTTTAGATAAAATGCATTGTAAATCTTTAATTGAGTAAAAGAGAATCACTAATTTGGGTAGAAAAATTAACTGGTAGTTACAGTTCACACTGTAACTCTTCAGTATTTTTTGCAAATGCCTGAAATTAATCAACCTAAAGTGTCATAAAAGTTGCATAGAAATTATGTGTTATGCTAACTACTAATGCTACACTACAACAAACATTCTTCTCCACAAAAATTACAATTACTGCTTGGTTAAAACCCATACAGATTTGGAGACTCTGTAGAAGGATCTACCTAGCTAGTCACTCTCCATCTATAATTATCGTTAGAAATGGAAGCAACACTCCACCTAAGTAACTCCCAATGAGTGATCTCACACCAGGCTGTGAGAATGACATCTCGATAAGGGCATCTACTTTGAGTTGGTGGATCAAGTGTGCAAGTTTTCAAGTTAGAAACCAGGAAGGAATGTACTCTCGTTTCCCCTCTCTTCTGCAGAATGTGATCTTCTCTTATCCTGCAATACATACAGAACAGGCAATATTTCACCCCTCCTCAACTCCACTGTCCCCAAACACTCTCACACTGGTTTAGATAGATCAGCAAAGATCAGAAAACACAAAAGGATCTGGCAGACGTTGGGGGGAGGAACACTTTAAATTTGAAAGAAGGTAAGATTTGGTAAAAAAAAAAGACACCTTTCTTCCTTAAGAACACAAAAAAATGGGACAAATTGGAGTATCTCAGATTCTTGAAGACTAGAGAGTTTATTAGTATTAAATACTATATGATTTTAATACAATTATTTTGTAAGATACTGAGATTCATTGTATTTGGATAATAGTCATAGCATGTTTGTTTTTACCTTCTGGCGGCCTGTTAGATGTTGCCACAACGACAACCCCATTTTGGAACAGATTTTCAAAAAGCTGCTTCAGAATCATGGCATCAGCAATGTCAGTGACCTGCAGAAGACAACACATTTGTTTTATCTTGCTTTCAGCTTCTGCCGCAATAGATTTGCAAGTGGCTTTATAGCTAGGAAAAATGCTTGTTAGTGAAAGCCATGGAGAAAGATTCTAATTATTGCTTGGTGAGGAAAAAAATAAAAGGGATAATTAATAAGCAGTGAATGTACCACGGTCTTTCAAAACTTGCCCATTCTTTATTGCCGAACTCCACCATTTCTTTATCAATTGCTAAATGATTCCATGTTAACTTCTATTATAAAACTACAGGTGGGAGACACAGAAAACAGACCTAAACATTTAAGAGGCCTAATTAAATAGAAACAACATGAAAAAAACAGAAGACAGAAGGAAAATACACACCAGCTGTTTTACATTTCTATTACCTTTGAGGCAAAGGTTTGCAGAGGTGAATTTAAATGGTCATGGGACTTCAGAAATAAAGACAAGTAGCCAACTATACATAATCAGCTGCTGTTGAAAATAGAATGATATGACATAGATACTATTGTGTGATTGTTGCAAAAAACAATTCAACAGATGGCCCATCACAAAAATAAGCAATTTCATTGTTCTTTTTAAGTGCCTTCTATTACTGTCCATGAATAATCAAAAGGCACGGCAGTCACTTCCAGCACAGTCAGCCTCTTCTAACCTTCAGGCACAAAATACTAACAAAAAATAAAAATGGGTGGGACAAGCAATACTGGGGAGGGGGAAAAAAAAAATATATAAAAAAAAGAGAGAAAAGACGAAACAATAAGCCATAAAGTAAAATTTCTTTAAATATCTAAGTTTAGCATAACTATCTTGCTTTACCGTACCAGGAAATAAGAGGAACGCAAACCAGAAACCACTCTGTACAAATGAAAAAAATTTAGTAATTTTTTCCAAACAAAAAGCCCCCATTGTTACAACAGCATTTTATATTTCACAGGAGTTCATAAGCTGAGATCAGCAATCCTAGTAAGTACACCAAGTTTATCATCATTACACTTGTTTCTCCTGCACTCCCTCTGATTATTATATAGGCACTTGTTGCATTTTGACTTATCAAAACAGACCCCAATTCTGAGGAAATAAAAACATGGTGGCACGCTGAGAGTTATACACACTCGTTATGTAACAGATTGACAGACTGCTATGCTTTGCTGGTTTAGATGGGAATGTCTTGATCGTAATAAATCTACAGAGACACTTTAACCAGTACGATCTTTTTCACCTACTTCACCACCACCCCATCCCCATCATTCCCCCATTTATAAATGACCTTTCTGGGCAGAAAAAAATAATTACTTCTACACTAGAGACAGTAAAAGACTTAGGTTACATTTCTGACAACTAGTTTGGAAGTAATAATGTTTATAAGGAACCATACGTAAACACCAGTTTCCTTCTTCCAAAGATTTCTTCTAATTAGTTCTATGGAATGCATTAATATGGACATTTTTTTCCTTTTTCAAAACCAAACTTTTACACAATCAGTAACACACTCCTCAGACTTGTACATCTCTGATCACTAAGATCTAACATTCCAAAGAGCATATAGTAATTCACTATTGTACTATGTCTAATGTATCTGCTTATGCACCCACCTATCGATAATACATTTAGTCTGAATACTACAATTTAGGAACTTTCCCTGCTCATAAAAAACAAGACACAGAAGTTAACAATTTCTTGCATTACAAAGCAAACTTAATAGCCAAGTTTCAAAAATGTATTATATAAATCTACAAACTCTTTTGTTTAAAAATACTATAAAGCATGCTACCTTTAGAAAACAGGAATAGAAAAAATATTAATGATCACAAAAGAAATGGGTAACATTCACTTATTAATAAGAACTGCTATTTGCTGTGGCATTCTGGTATTTTCAACTCTGTTACACAAAAAAAAAAAAACAAAAAAAAAAACAAAAAAAAACAACACAAAAACCAACCCACAACTCTTGAAAGTTCTGTCAAAAAGCAAGAGCCATTTTCAGAACTGGGATGCAAATATGAGCTCTGTTTATCTAACAGCAGGCTGGGAAAGACAGAAAATTCCTACAAGGTAAAGCAGGTAGAAGACAGTAACTAAAGCACTGTCATTTCTCGTGTTTTTTACTATATCCAGCATTCACTGCAACAAGGAACAAAAGCAAAGGCTACAATTTACCAATAAGGAGAGCCTGCTAATGGAAAGAATGGAGAAATTTCATTAGCATTTAAGAGAAAAGATTTTTATGACCTAGTGCTGCTTTCCATTATGGCTCACATTAAAAAAAAAAAAAAAAAAGAAAAAAATGAAAAAACACTAGACTAATAGTTGATTTACATGTGTAAGTACCTGAGACTCAGTCAGCCACTGATTGGTACAGTTCCACGTAATGAATGACAAACATAAGCATGTATTATCAGCAATTAGTATTAGCACAAAAATAAGAGCCTATTTTTTATTAGAGGCTTTTAATAGCATGCAGGTTAGTAAAAACTCCCTAAATTGTAGTTTGCTTTAAGTCCAAGTGGTACCAATGGTACACAAATACTAACACTGTATGATCATTCAGCTTACCAAGTAGGGATTCTGTTTTCATTATCATTACTAACATAGGTTACACACCAGAAGCAGAACTTCTAATTACTTGTGTATAGTTATTTGATCACTAAACAATAACGTTTTTATTGGCCAACCTCTGTGTTCTGAAACATCAAAATTAGGGTTTTTCTTCAAAATGAGGACACATTTTCAGAACAGTTTGAGACTTTCATGATTCCAAAAAGGCTTTAATATTTAAGGTAAACTGTATGACAAAGATCAGTAAGAAGTAGCAATATTTTAATAACCTGACAGCCTGCAGCTCAGGCAAATGCTGGTAAAACACCTCCTTCAGAACGGACAAACTCAGAAGTTTAGTGCCATCACTCAGATCCTGGCTATCACACAATATTTGCAAAGAGAAATATTTAAGACGTAGTATTTTTTTTTTTTTTTAACATGACTATTTTGGAACACACAAAATCACTTTTAGAAGTACTGAAATATTTTTCTACATCTATTAGTCAACTCTCTCCTTGTTTGACAGTTCTCTAGGCTTTGCAACAAGATTCACTTCAGAGTACTTCTGTTTTGCTTTAGCCCACTGTCAAAGGAATGTGCACCCTCAGCAATGTTTTTCTCTTTTGAAGTTCTGCATTTGGTTTCCTCTGAAATATGAGCATTAAAAGTTACTTTTTTGCTGTCTCTGTTACAGTATCGCTCATCAGCATGCCTGACCTTAAGATAAATAAATAAATTCATCTTATTCTCCTTTTTTTCCAACTGATATTTGAAAGCAACCTGAAGTGCTTCAAGCTAATCTCAATAGTTTTCTGATATTTCCTTTACACACAAGTATTTCACCACCGTATAGACCCAACTTGACTTTCTATCTGTCAAAACAGACAGTTGCTTTGTCTGCAAGTCAGAGCAGCGTATGTTCTGAATCTCAAGGTCTTTCCAGTTTCATTTTAATCTAGCAGTTCTTTAAGTATGAGTGAATCAGATTACAGTGAAATCTAGTCATTATCTCCACTGGGGAAATGAGCTGCAAACATCCTGAATTAGAGATGGCTCTTTATTATCAGTGTTAATTGTGTCACCACATGAGCCGCTCTTCCAGTCACTACACCACTTTATGACTATTTAAGCAGAAGGTTTCTTATCCCAAATTCAGTGCTGTCTGCAGAATTTCAGAAAGCTGGGACTCTTCAGTAGGCAAAGCCTGCGTAACATTCCACATTATGGAAAATCAGTCAAGAAATCCATCTATTCAGGAATTTATGAATTTAGAACATTAGTATACCCAGAACAAGCAGATTTTTAAAATTCACATATGACTGCAGAGTCTTAGATACACAGTTTAAGATATATTTCTTGTATTACTTTCCCAGCTGTGACCCATCAACAAAAACACAGGTGATTTTTACAACCAAAGTGATTGATGTACCTCAAGCAAGTCAGCAGGGGGAGCAGGCAATCAATTTGGAAACAAAAACTACCAGAGTCTCTCCCCTTAAAACGTAGAAACATGGCAGTCTGGAAACACAGCTAAGCCAGGATATGAAAGGAGTGGGCATTTAGACAGAAAAGCAGGTATTTACACTAAGACACGGTAAAGCAGAGATGCCTCTTTGTACCATGTGAGCATTTGATGTCATGACATTCTCCCCTGTCCCCCCACAACCTTCCCATCTTTTCACAGTGTAAATACAACTCTCTCCATTTAGATCCTATACTGCGAGTTTCAGAAGCTCAGCATTCATGTTCAACAGAGAAAGCACAATTTATACGATCAAACAACAGCATCTGAATAAGTTCAGATGTTCACACTTGCAAGCACACTCAAACAGAAAATATGAAAAAGGGTGTTAAAAAGTGACAGAAAAAACAAACAAACAAACCAACCACAAAACAACTACTGGATGGTAAAGATATTTTAAAGCTTTTACAGCACTGGGGATTTTTTGATGACAAAAGACTGACATTAAAACAAACAGGAGACAGGTAGCAATCTTGTCTGTGAATTAAGACCTTGAAAAGACTAAGTATTATTTTACAGGAGGAAAGAAGGGCATGTTCATTAGACATCTACCTGTCTCCTACCTTGACTGATATCAACAGATACCGCATACACTGACTGGAATAGGCAAACATAAATCCATGTATGTGCCACTGCATTTATGCCTCTAAGTATTTAGAAAATGTTCAAGAGTCTGATTAATTTTTAAATTTTTTTTTTTTTTTTTTTAGAGAAAATCATGAGAATTACAGTTAGAGTTTATCTCCACTCTTAAACTTGGTTGCTAGAAATTCTTCTGCAAACAGCCAAAGTCAGAGGCAAAGAACAAAAGCACACTAAATACCTTCAGACTGTGGTTAAGATGGAGACAATGAACTTTTGCATAATGATAATTAATATATTATAGTATAATAAACAGTTCTGAGACAGCTAATGCATTTTAGGGAAAGTATTCTACCAAAATATGCTTGAAGCTCATAATTGAAAAATTCCCAGTACATAATTAATCCATCACTTTCACAAAATTTTCACAGGACTTGAAATTTTAAAAGAATACTGTTTTCTTATGTTGTGCCTCAAGACAGAATTTTTAAATGTTCTAGTGTCTTATACTCATTAGCATACTAAATAGAAATCAGAGTTTAACATGGAGCAAAACACTAAACAAAATACAGTACAGTGCCTTTCTCATACTTGTTCATGTATTTATCTGCATAATTTGATAATCTATAATTTATATTTGGTCATTGGTGTAAACTAACAATCTCTAGCAAATCAGGATAGAGTTTCTTTTACCATATTGAAATACTGAATATATCTCAAATATAGCTTTTATTAAACATCTTCAAATGAGATTGCAATTCTGAAACCATAGATTAAAGGACTACCCCTTATTGTAAAATGCTAGAGTAACTTAAAACAAAAATACCTACTGCTTTACAGCTCTAAAAATCCCCTCCAAGGGAGCTGATCATAAACTGGTTATTTTCTCGGTTGTGCAGGCTTGTAAAATAGTAGCTAGGAGATATAAATTGATCCATCCATTTCAGTAAAGTATTCGTTTAAGAGCATACTGCAAACAATTTACACTTAATAGATGATTCTTTTACTATTGGTGACTTCAGAACTAACACAGATCTGTTCTTATCTTGCTGTGCATTTTCTCTCTGAATTAGAAACCTCAGCCGACTAGAGCTGCCAAATACTGCTAGCCTCTCTCCTAAAAATTTTCATAAAGCAATTCTACACTTAAATTTGTGACGTGCTCTTAAAACAAAATTCACAAGCTGTGTAGCACAAATGAATCAACCCAGCTAGCTTGGGTAAAGGTAATTCTGTGAGTTCATTTTTAATTTTCACATTTAATTCAATAAAAGTTTCTTAAAATGGTAGTTACCTTGATGTAATCTGACACTGTCATGCCAAAGGCTCCAATAACTCTAGGAAAGTGTCTAGGTATAATCTGACATGTTATTTCCACATTCTTAATCACACTGAGGTGATTCTGTTACATTATATGAACTACAGCAAAGACCAGGCATGCCAAGCAAGTATCAGGCGACTACTCTCCCAGGCACTGTACAGACTCAGTGTAGGACAACAGTCCCTGCCCTGAAATACTCATGAGCCTCTCACCAGACTCTAACACCCCCTTGTATGACCAGTATCTAGACTGGTAAATGAAAGCACTATAAGGGGACTTATCCTGCTAACTTGCATCTTATCTCCTGGAAAAAAAATAAGCTGCTTTTTTCAAAACTGTAAAATGACTCTTTAACTTCTACAGTTGACTACTGGCCAGTAATTCAAACATTGTATCAGCAGTAATAATTGTCATATTTTAAGATTAAAAGGAATTTTTACAAAGTTTCCCTTGAAGCCAAGGAGTAATATCTGACACCTTACCTGAAATTCATCAAAACATAAGAGAGCAGCCTCTTCACTTATTTCCTCTGCTACTGGGGCAATTGGGTCATATGATCTGGCCATAAATCCTGGCTTTCTTTTCGGCAAGCTCTGCTTGAGGCGATGTATTCCTCAGTTGATAAAACAGAAAAGAACAAATATTCCTTATTTCTTTTTCTAAGATAGGAAGACCAAAATTATTTATCTAGCAAATAAAAAGTAATCCAGTCCAGTAAAAATAAGAAAGCTTCAAATTTAGTCCAAGAGGGCAAAATAGTTTTCAATACCATCCAAACAACTATTAAAAGCCCACAGATTTTGTGACTTGTATCTTCTTGTTTAGAAACATGTAAAACAAATACCAAGAAAACTCTTTAATGCTATGCACCTATACTTTATCTTTTAAAAACTAATATAAATTACAGGTTCATGACCTTAGTTCCAGTTTTACTTTTTAATTTGGCATTTTCTGTATTAATATTCGCTCTCAGTATGAAAAACCCTTACGGTGTTTACAAATTAATTCCTCCCTGCACTGCATGCTCTGAAGGTCTGCTTAGAATGCATTTAGTTAAAAGAACTCAGACACAGCAACACAATTACATTTTAAAATGAGAAGTGAGGATACTGGCACAAAATAAGATTATTACATCCATACTTTGTCTCATTGATTGTATTTCATCTGACAAACCTTTGGAAAAGAAAGATCCTGCAGTAAGAAGTTACCCTACCCTTGTTAAGACTAAGCACAATTTACAAGAAATGGAAACAGAAAATCTCAACAGTGACTCAAATATGATAGAAAAGAAGGCCCTAAAAGTGGCAGAAGTTGTTTACATCGATGTAAGCTTCCCAAGAAAAATGTAGCTGTCACAATATTTGTAAATTACAGCATTAGTTAACAATTTCATAGTATTTTAAAGTCGTAAAATTTAGAAACAGAAGCAAATTTTAAATTATCTAAAACAGTATCACTGTCAAAACTGAGTGCCTTGATCACCCCATCAGAAATTTTTCTGATGCTTAGGATGAACTTCCTTCTGTTATTTTTTCCTCTAAATTACTGATGGTATTACTAAGTTTGCCAAGCAGGTGAATTCTCATTCTCCTTGGCGTTTATACCTGAATCACTTATTGCTTATTCAAAATGCAGACTGAATTTAACCTTTACTGTTTCAGTTTTAGCAACAGCCTTCTTCAGACTGCATGTAAGCTAACCACTGGAAAACATTTAGTTAAGGATTTAACTCTAAATATACACCCAAGTCTTCTACACAATCAGGTATACAGAACCTTTGATAAAAGATACTTGAGAAATAGTATGTAAATAATATCTACTCTGCTATGACAGGCAATGTTAAAATCCTTTAACATCCTTCTCTCCTATTTTTTACTTTTTTTGCTCAAATAGTTATGCTGATTAATATGAGTATGAGAATGAGACAGACTTATTTATAGGTATCTTGTAAATACCTGTGTCTGCACTTACTCTGGTGTACATCTAGCATGAAGCCATGGAAATGGACTCTCTTTTTCCTTTCTACTTCTAAGTGAGAATAGAACATGTCCATCACCATTGTCTTTCCTGTGCCTTCAAATAAAAAACAACAAAAAAAACCCCAACAGGTAGTTAATTTAAGAACAGTATGTACTGATTACAATAATGACTGTTCATTAGCTTTGAACTAAGGAAACTATATTCTTCCACAGAATAAAGTGAAGTACAAGGCCAGACTGTTTGTGAAGAACAGTTGTATTTTCTGTTCAAGAACTTGGAACAACTGCATTGCTATTTTTCTGTTTTAAAATTTTCGTCCATACAGAGATGGCCCAAAGGTTGCAAAAATGGTTCCATATGCATGCAGAAAACATCCTTAGTATTTCCTTTTGAGAAGCAAGTATGTTTTCATGCTGTATTATTGCAATTAGAATATATAAATTCTCTCCATGGCCCCCTCAGTTGTTCCCCAAACTCTTAAATTGCATTCGTAAATATTAGTCAGTGGATAATGTTGAAAAAAAAAAAAAACAAAAAAAAAAAAAACACCTACACATGGTAACGTAGTCCAACCCAATAGCTTCCTGAATTCAGAGTGGAATTGTATTAAATAACATCATAACATGGAAGAAAACTAATCCTGGGAAACTCATGAAAGCAATAATGCTACCTAAACATAAAGCTTTTAGGCATTTCAGAATTTGAATAAATTTGTATTTCAAGAAAATTCCACTGGAATTGATGCAACTCAAACTCACCAACATCTCCATAGACATACAGACCTCTTGGGGGCTTGTTTTTTGCAAAGAGCTGCAGATCAAGAGAAAAAGAATAAATGTGAATATGGGGTCAAAAGCAAGCACATTGCTGTGGTAAAATAAGAAAGTAGGTACACTTAACCACCAAAGTAGCACTAGCTAGTAAAGTATAACCTTGAATAAATCGTTAGCTCAGAATTGGTAAGCAATCTTAATGTTATATTTGTGAGAATTCTATAAAAGAGGCCAAACACACATGCAGGGTTTGGGTTTTTTTTTAAATCATTGTGAAAATAGCCCTATCCCCAGTCGTAGCACACATGCCTTTTTACCAGAACACACACAAAATGATTAAACGTTTCCCAATCCATCATCATCAAAACAAATCCTTTTCCTCATTAAGCCATGTGAGTGGCCCTAAGAAAAGGGATATAAAATTAAGCAGTATTGTAGCATTCATAGATATATGCACTATATACCTATTAAAGTAGCTCTGCTTAAGATATAAACCATTAGGATTTAGAAAATTAGTATTGCAAAGCCAGTGAGCATTGCAGGTCTCCTTTCCCTCCCTTTTGAATCTTAAATGAAGACTCATCTCTGGTTGAACCATGATTAAAATCAATGAAAACACATTAAAAATATCTACCCACATACACATGCATGTGTGTATATATGTGTATATATAAAAGGTCATTTTCAAAGTATGTCCTTTATTCATAATTTTCTCAAGTGAGTTATGTTTATCTTGAATTAATACTGCTTAAGAATGTTTAATTTCTTAATATTACTCATGATGTGTCGTGACACCTGATGTTTTTTTCTATTTTACTCAAATATATATTTTAATGGAAAAACTTTCAATAACTTCAAGACTTCCAATTTGAAGCAGTCCTCCCGGGCCAGTATTGTGCATAGCCACTTCCAAGTATAATTCTAAAAATAAACAGTTTCTAAAAAACTGGAAATCTTAAAACTCTCATCAATTCCACGAAATTGAACTGTCATCCACAAAAACACTACAGAAAAGTATTTGGTTATTTTATAGTGTTCCACTTTCACAGTTCTGTGAGCTGAGCCAAAACAGAGGAAAATTAAAATTGCAATCCTGTGGTCTCATTTGGAGCTCGGTAATTGCTAAACAACTTGAATCTAAAGCACTTTTCAAAATATAGTGCCATGCTGAAGAAACAGGGGAGTCAGTAGCAAAACACTAATTGAATATGAAAGAAAATATATGACCAAAAGGTAGATAGATAGCGTCTCAGGTCTATAGTACCAGTTTATTCAGAAAATACGGAAGCATACCTCTTATGTAAGACCCACTTATAGATTTCATTTAGAACTATATTAACAACAAAAAAAATTGTATCATCAATATGTGGCTGGACAAGGTTTCAGATGTTCTGAAACCGTTCCATTAATAGACAAGGCTGCAACTATTTGCTAGTGCTTTGAAAGCACTGCAAGACAATTTAATTGACATACATTTTTCAGTGTGTACTTTTAAAAAGCTTGCACTCATTAAAATTACTGATGCTCAAAGTTACACAGTGAAGAAAGGAGAAATGGAAAAATATCTGAATGAGAGAGAATTTATTTATTTTTCATTTCAGATTAACAACAGTCATTTTAACAAGATAAAAGACTATCACATTCAATTTATTACATAAAGAGGCTATATTAATGTCATTTGCAGTTTCACAAGGAATGACACAAAGCTAGAAAAACAAATAAATGTTTAGATTACTGCTTTACCTGTCTTTGTAAAAGTTCTATAAACAGAACAAGTAGTAATGCCTACATTTTTATAGCTTTTTTTTTTTTCCTTGCAAAGTGTTTATTAATTACATTTAACCATTGTGAAGTTTGTCTTTTTAGGCATATTTTATTCTCACTCCAGTACTTACTGTTTCTAGAAGACATGTTACAGAAAAAGGTTTTGGCTAAAAGAAAGAAATATATTGGCTTGGCTTCCATAAAAGTCTAAATCAACTGCTTCTTGGCTTGAAAAATTGAATTAGTTTTTTTGTAAAGGCAGCAGTTTTTGAGTTATATCTAATTGCTAAAAGACAATGCATGGATACTGTGGCAGATCCAAACACATTTGCTGAAGCTGATCGTCTCTAAAAGCAAATCAAATGCCAGAACATCTCTTACCCTCTTTGAACAATTGAAGAAGTTTGTAGGAAATATTTTATGTATACTTCTGCCAGAAGTGACACCATTGACACTTACAGGATATTCACTTCCTCAGTCCTGTCAGGTATTGTATAACACTAAGAATTTATTTTTCTATTATTGGGTTGAGGTTCTTTTAACTTATATTTTATTTTTAAAAAGTAAACTTGATCGGTAGACATGTAATACTGGAACTCAGACATCCTACCAGTCTCAAGGTATTCTGCATGACCATAAAATGGATTTTTTATTATTTTTTAAAAATTCTTCTCATACATCTTCTGAAACCTGTAAGTTGCATGAGAAAAAGAGCAACTTCCACTAGGATTTCTGATAAAATCCCATCAATGCTGTTGGTTCAACTTAAACCACAGCAAACAGTGAAGAATGTCAGTGGTACGTTGGGGCAAAAAAGCAGAAGACTAATCTTGATTCTACCGAAGCACACACTCCAAAAGAAGAAGGAGGGGGGAGATCTAATGCAGAAGATCCTCCAGTCACACTAAAACAAGGATAGTCTTGTTTATTTCAAGGAGAGATGGGAGAAAAGTGGGAGGTGTAGGAAGACAAACTAAATGCATGAGCTTCTCCTCGCTCCTCACCTCCATGTTATCCTGAGGTAATTCGGGGTCTCAGTAAAATAATGTGGACAATAAATGTTCTTTTGCAACAATAACAAGATTTAATGATTTAATGCTAATATTTCAGATGTACCAAACCAAAGCTATTACATGGTGCACAAAATTTGAGTTTGAAGGGGTGAATTTGGAAATCCTTAGATGTATGTTTCGAATGCTCACCATATCCTTTCAAACACGGGCATCAAATGCGTCAAATCCCTCGAGTCCTCCAAGTTTGTTAATTCCCATGACATTCTTTGCAGTAACGTAAGGAAGTATAACTTAAGCCCTTCACCAAATTTCATTATCACCAGGACATGCTCCAGCAGAAGCCTTCTTTCCTTTATTGATAAATTGACTCATAGAATTTCCTTTGAAAATCATTCATCTGCTACAGTATTTACAATTCCACAAGAGGACACACACATTAGTGCCCCCAGATTAACACAATCCTCTCCTCTACTATCCAAATGTTTTACACATTTCTGTTTCAAAACTGCATGCCTTGTTCTGATTCTATTGCATCAGATTTTTCTTTTTTGTTTAAACTTCACTTTAATCAATCAATATCCTACCTCATCTAAAGAATTATATTGGTCAAAACACCTCATTCATTCTGACCACCTCCTATTCTTTCCTAAAGATCTTTAATACTCCACACTGTCTTCCCACCTTCTCCCATGCTCCCTACCTCGGACACCAGAAACAAGCAACTCATTTCCTGGAAATATTTACATTCTGATTTGAAAAACTTTTAAGTGAAAATGCATGTCAATACTAAGATAATTAATCAAAACATACAAAATTCAAGAGACAAGTCTCCAAACAGCAGATTTTTTTTTTCCCAAACACTAACAAAACTGCCTCTTTCTCCCACTCTTACATGCCTCCTTTTTGGTTGCTGTTGTAGCTGTAGACATTTTCAAGGTCCTGAATGGTGTTTACTATTGTTCATACCTCTTTTCAAAACATGACCTCACTTATAATTGAGCTTATTTCAAGTCATTAGTACAGCAACTCAACAACCCTTAAGATGTCCCAATTGGTATTACTTTGAAAAGCTAGAGATCTGAAACGTCTATGCAAACTCTTATGGCCTTGAACTTCAATTCAGAGGATCTCAAAATATCTCAACATACAAGGCCATGCTTTCACCAAGTTGAAGATCAAAGTCATTGTTCAAATTTGAATAATAATTTGAAAAACAGAAGCCTGCTTGGTCTGCAGCAAGACTGTTTTTTCCCCTCAAATTCTTTCTGTGCCCATGTCCCAGAAAACCTACATCACAAAAAAATACAGAGTCTTATTATCATAAAGGAAATGGCTGGTGTCCTCTGCATGTGTGTGCCTCAACTACTTATTTTAGAAAGGTTTGGCCTATGAAATATGCAAGCCTTTTGGATAAACACTGAAATGCTTCTATTGTATCTGAGATAAATATTTGTTCCCTAATCTTACTTTCACCATATTTTTAGTGAATAAAACTATTTAGATAAAAAGTGACAAATGAAGAACAAAGCTAAAAACAAAGCAGACCATTCTTGTAATGGTTCAGAAGTGCAAGAAGTTTCTATTTCTGGAATAACTGTTATTTTAGAAGAGGCTTCTGAAATTCTACCACAGAAGAAATCAGGCAATAAAATAAGGAATATCAGACTACAAAAGAGGCTGACAGAGAGAGGCTTCTCTCTCTCTTCCCCCTTTTCTTCACTGCAACCTCTCAACTACGTTCTCTTCAATGACACAGCCAGGAAAAATAAGCATGCTTGAAATGCCAAACACAACTATTTTTTATTTCTAAAAAGCTGCCAGTAGATTCTTTTCAACACAGGTGATTTCATACTAAAAGCAGGTTAGTCAAGTTGCTAGAAGCCTCCTGAAAAAGCAAAAAGTCAATCTACAAACTACTATAATTAAAACTACTACTACTACTACTACAAACTACTACTGATTACGTTTGACTTATTTCCAAAAAGTCCTTAAGTAATTTCAAATATATCAATTTGTTTCATTTACATCTATTAAATCTCATTAAGTACAAAACATTAAGGAAAACCCATCCTAAATGTTATCATAAGAACAACTGAACAACTATAGCATAAGATTTATCTTTCACTTCCCAGCATATTCAGAGTTACAAAGTACCAGGCCTTCGTGGGAGAAGAGTGCCAACAAGCTATTCACATATACAGGATTTATCTGTGCCCTATAGCATTACTGCTTCCTGGAGATGCCTTCTACTAGTTATGTGAACTATTTCCAGTCATAAACCTCCACAAATCCTGTTAAAGCCAGGCCAATTCTACAGAGCAGTACTCAGCACCTCTTCTTGGCACAAAAAGCCTTAGTTCTACTCTTCAAAACTGCACCACGTCTGCAACAGCATCCCTACCCTCAAAGTCTATCACAGAAAAATATGTATTCTGCTTACTTAGAAAACTCCCCGACAGAGGCAGACATACGACAAGCATCTGATGCCACTGCCTACAGCTGGTACAGTGCCTGACGGCTATGATTTTACCAACTACCTATTCACAGTTGTGACTCTTATTCTGGGGAAAACCTTCATTAAGGATGTCAATTACAACTTTGCTGAAGCAAAACCTGGCCCACGCTAGAATTTAAATCATACTTTATTTGGCTTGATTTTAACTCAAAAGGATCTCTGAACTGGCAAGTAACTTCCTCAAAGGTAGCAGAAGAGAAACAAAGTTGTTGCTACTTCTCCATCATGAATCATGATTTGATTTAATTAGAGAAGCTAGCAGGCCTCAACATTTACACAAAACTCACTGCTCTCCTCCTTTTCTGGGGTTTTGATGTATGGCACGGCACTACAGTGCTCAACCTGGTTATCAATGTTCTTAAGACTTCCACAGAGATCAAGCTTTAGAAGAAAAATCTAACTGCAACAACACTTACAGATAATATAGCGAGTAGCTCTACAGCTACTTCTCATTGACTGTGGCATTAGTTCCCAGGTATCAGCGAGCCATGCAAGAGTTTTTAAGAGCGGGTTTAAAATTAAAGCATTGGACTGAAGCAACATTAAATGGAAGAGCACATAGCTTTACAGGAACTAGTGAAAGCCACATGCTCGACCTAAAAAATGGCATTTGACTTTTTCCTTTTAATAAAGCATCAGTCAGTCAGGCTTTACTGTGATTAGCTCTGTTATATGGGGACAAAGTAGCATCACAATTTCCTAAATAGAATAAGATTGGTATTTGTTCTCTGCAATAGAGTCTTTCTTCCCTATTCATGCTTCCCAATCAAAGAAACTGTAAATAACAACCCACATAATGCTTGATCTACAAAGCCATTACAAGACACCTGCTTTAACAACTATAATGATTCAGGGCACTACAGTTAACACAAGTCAGCTCTCAAAACTATTATCAAAGGCAGCACTTTCAGAACAGAATATCCAAATGTCCAAAACAGTTTACCAGAAAAGATCAAAATGCTCTAGCCTACTGATCCTCAGGTTTGACAGTAAGACCGACACCTTCATCATAACATTTTTTCTAAAGAATTCAAATGAATAGAAGTCTGGCAGTATGTCCAAAAGATAATGCAGAAACAAGCCACATAACTGGCTTCCTTTTGAGTGACTTCCTCTTTTACAGTCCAAGTACAGTGTCTAAAGACAATCTTGAGACAGGCAACTTAAAAGTTAACAAGCCCAACACCAAAGCTTAAAAAGAAGCCCAGACTGATGAAAAACAAAACAAACCAACCAACCAAACCCCAACTTTTTACATCCAGCATCCTCAAGATACAAAACTCTGGCCTCCTATATTACACTTACAGAAGTAGTTTGGCAAGCTGAATCCAGCTTGATCTCCTGTTTTTGCATAAGTATAAGTTCTCATTCAGTCACACTGCCATATTGCTTTGGATACCAAAGAAAAGCAATACTATTTTTGAAAGAGGAAATTTCTGTTTTTTTATTTGGTACTTGCCCAAAACAAATCAGGAAGGCTGGTTTAGACTCAGGAGTTAGCCTACAAAGGCATCAAGACAACATGGATCCACAGGCACACACCTACATACAATATAAGTGTTTTAAATTATCATAAACATACAGTTTTCAGACTATAGCTACCATTTTTACCCTGTTTTTATGTTTTTAATAATTTTAGTGAAAGAAATCCTGAAAGAAAAAAGGTAAGTAATGTGCTGAGCTGACCCACCAGCCACAGCAGGCAAAAATACACCCCAAACCATTGTTTGGCTCCAATTCCCACATCAGAGTTAGAATCACTGAATGATTTAGCTTGGCAGGGACTTCAGGGGATTGGATGGCCAAATGCCCTGTTTAAAGCTAAATCACAGAATATCTCAGGTTGGAAAGGACCACTAAGGATGATCAGGTCAACTGCTTCCAGAACAGAACTTCCAAAGACACTCTCACTACCCTCTAGGAGCAGTCTTGCCTTAGCACTTTGCTTCCCGTTCTTAACCACTTTTTCCTTCCGGAGTGCCTGATTTCTGCTCCATGCAATTATTTCACATTCAGGTTTCTTCTCACTGTATCTCAATAAAAGAAAGTGCTCCTTTCCAGGTGTTTAGTCTGCTTCCTTTCATGAGGAGACAGGAAGACATTTATGGCATTTCCAGTCAAGCATATGATTAGCAAAATACACTATCTCCAGCTACATATATGAGTTTAAAGGATCCAAGGGATGTTGGAGGCAGTCTGATAGGCAAGCATGTGTCCCAATGCTCTGCACCCTGCTATATTATCTATTTAAAACAGGCACATTTATAACACAGACCATTTACAGGTATAATCCTTGTCCTCATAACAAAGTTCTCTTCACTACTTTCGCCATGCTTTGAAGCTCATATACATCACAAGAGCCTTAGAGTGGTAACTTCTCATTTAGTGCCCGAAGAGCAGAGGACAGCATGGTATTTAGAGGCACCTGAGTCCTGTAGGCTTTGGCTCCCATGACCTCATGCTATATCATTTAAGCTCACCATGCAATCAAAATGGAGTATTTGTGCCAGGTAAAGGGAGAATTTGGGGTTGTAATGGGGAGTATATGGTTAGGTAACAAGTTCAATAGAGTTAGATATTTATATTTATGCCCATGAGATGAGGTCTGTTGCATAACAGATGCTGAGAAAGGCTGACATGGAGGACATTTGCAAGGTCTGCAGCTGACAGCATACATTGACTGTAAATGTGAAACCTACTTCTGACACAAAAATGAAAACAAAAGTGGTACAAAAGAAAGAGAGAAGGAAAAAGGAAAACACTCAGTGGCTGGCTGGGAAAAGCAGTGACAGCTTTCCGACATCCTCCTCTTAGGGGCAGGAAGGTGTCTCTCCAGTGCAGGCAGGGAAAGTAAAGATGATGATGGCAATGAATATTTTGCCATGCTTTTTTCCCAGCACTATATTTTTATCATCGGACTCAAACACCCTATTCTTGTTGTTTCCCCTCAGCATGTTTATGATTATTTGCGCCGACTGGAGTACGTTAATCAGGTCCAAATGAAGCGTATTCACTGGTTGTTCAGCTTCTGTGCAAATCTATGATTGCCTAGTATTTACCAAGTAATTAAATGTCTTATCTACTTTGCTGGGCACTATGGTTTTCTAGGATATAAACTCAAATCTACAAAACAAGAGGCAAGGAGAGCTGACGGGGAATTCTCACACCACTTCTAGTTGCTTCCCATGAGAATCTGACATAACAACGCTATCAAGACTTGCAGGTGCAAGGCCACAAGAGCAACAACCTGAGAATAACAGCATGAGAACAAGACATGAAAAATACTGCCACAGAGGCTCTGGAAAACACTGCTTCAACAGTTTCAGAAAAAAGTTACAGAGCTGAAACAGCAGGCTCTTCATGTTACTAATGCTAAGGCACTATGGTTGCTAAGACACTGTGCAACACAGGTATGTCTGAATTTTTGTTAATACTTTGAAAAGCAGCTGTTGCCCGCAAAAATACAAGTAGGGTGCAGCTCACACCTCTGCCTTCTTTCCTTACCCCAGCTGGAGACTAACACCAGAAAGAATGGACTTTTTTTTTACAAAAAAAAAAAAAAAAAAAAAAAAAAAAAAAAGAGTCATGTCTGATCTATATCACAATGTTTTGCAATGCTAAATTATTTAGCTTGGATTATGTAGACTCTGATGGATAATTTCACTTGTATTTATGGAAGATCTCTCAGAATACAAAACACCAATGTTTAGTATATGTAACCCAAACACATATTTGTTATACCAGTGATTGAGAGTCAAAACCTGGTCTCTGCTATACCAAATGACATTTTGGGAAAGGCAGACAGTGGACACAACCAAAATCATATAATATTTTCTTACAGGATTATTTCAATAATATTTAATTTGGTTGCTTCTATAGTACCACTGGAATTTTACAAATAAAAAAGAAAGCACAGAGATCCAAACACAAACAGTGATCTACCTGTAAATACCCAGCTGCAAAAATGAGACTTGTGTTAATGATAGAAATTTATATATCTTTTAAGCACATTCTTATAAGCAAATATAAATGCAAAAAAGCATTTTTATCATGATAAACCTTACCTTTGAGAAAAGATTTTTTGAACTGATGCTGTAGCCTTTCAGGCTCTCATGCAACTTCTGCAGGTGCTGTACAACCCTTCTTTGTTGATCATCATTCCTCAGCTCTTCTTGCTTAATCAGAAAGTCATAATGTTCTAAAGGTCCACTGCAAACCAATAAGGCTCTGGCATTAGCATCTGTAGGAGTACCAGGGACTGTCTTCTCATCTGCCTGAGCTGTGTATGCTGTAAAATTAAAAGCAGATTATTAAGAGAGAGTTTTGAAAAGCATCCTCTCACATTCATAAACAACACACTTTCTTAACACTTTACTCAAATACATATATACATTACTTACTTATACAACCAGTAGAGTATATTACCTCCTTGTTTTTCATCAAGTCAACTTTTAACTTTAGTAGTAAACACCTTTAGTAGAATGCTTTAACATTTACTCTTATTATTAACAAGCACACACACCAAGAAGCCCTGCTGGAGAGTTGGTAAGATTTGGATGAGCTGTTGCAAGGGAAGTTTTTTGGTTTGTTTTTTTTTTTTTTTTTTTTCAAATTGAGGCAAAACTATTTAAAAATTCCATCAAAGTGCATTTCTCTGAAGAGATGAATCCTTTGGAGACAGTTGGGCTGAATCAGACAGAAATAATTTAAAAGCCATATAACAGGAAACCAAAGCAGGAGTTTTGTCACCAAGTTTAAAGAGGCAAAGACCACAGTAAGCAAGGCAATAACTGTGAAGCCTTACAATGCCAGAGACGGTTCTGCTGGCGTTATCTCCTGCCTACGAGAGACAAGACTATGCCCAAGCAGGAATTATGTTTAAACTATATTAAAAAAAAAAAAAAAAAAAGTCAGAATTGCCAGGCATAAAATGAGGTATAGCTAGGAAAGGAAAGAACAAAGATTGCAAAGAAGGCTTCCTAAATTGCAAAGATCAGAAATCTAACAATGGAATATATTGAAAAATTGTTTAATATCTTCTTTGCTTGTATTGTAATTTAAAAGACTAAGTATAATTACATGTGACACAATTTGTAGCAACAGTAAACGAAACAGGTTTGAGTAGGAAAAATGCTTATCAGACTACATAGTTAGATATTTTTAACATTGTGAGATCTAAGAAAGTTCATCCCCAAATGCTTTACATAAGTTTCCTAAGCAACACAATGGCCTCCAACAGCTTTCTTTGAGGCCTCATTGATGGCAGGTGAAGTTCCAAAACACTATGAAAATTAAAGAGTTTTTGTCTTTAAAAAGAAGAGAAAGGCGAATCCAGAAATTCCTTAAGTCAGTCAACACAACTTCAGAACACTCAAAAATACTGGAACAAGTACAAGCAGGTGTTTTTTGGTTTTGTTTTGACTAAAGCAATTAACAATATAACAACATAACAAATAAAAGGCAACACCAGCTCCTGGGGAACAGTGTGAGATCAAAAGTTTACCTCTGTGACCAGGTAACTTGCTTGGTGAATAGAGGAAAAATATCTTAATTGCAGTAACAGTTTTGTCATTGGGTCCCATAGCATCCTCATATGAAGCCGTAAAGTAAGTTGCAAATGAAATTACTCTTGAGCAGGTAGCTAGAAAAACTATACGTAATGAATAATTACTACAGTTAAACTAGATGTATATTTGCAGTAGAGATTCAGAGAGGGCTCAGAATCTCAGCTTGGTGCAATCCAGAATTTCCATTCATGACCTGTATATGACAAAATAAAGTACATGGACTGGGAACACCAGTAAGGATTAGTCAAGATAAGGCTGCACCGACCCTGTAAGACAAAGCAATTCTGATAAACTGGACAAAGAATCTAATACAAATAAGATGCAATTCAAAAGGGACAAAGTATCTAATACAAATAAGATGCAATTCAACAGGGACAAAGTATGGTGCTTAGGGGAAATTAATAACTGAACTTAGAAGGAGAATGACCAGCTAAAGAGCAGCTTTGCAGAAGAGGATCTGGGGGCTACAATGGATCACAAACTGACAGTGAGACACCATCATAACACTATCAGCAAAAAAAAATAAAATAAAAAGCTGCAAGTACTCTAACGTATATATATGAGGGGCAACATCACCACACATGAAAAAATTCCATTCTATTCAATACTGGTACAGTCTGCCCTGGAACACACTTTTCAATTTTCACATCGTATTTCATGAGAGGTAAGAACTAAATGGGAGAAAAGATGATTTAAAGGACTATTTGTTAAACCATGGGTCACAACCCACTGAGAAGTTGTAATATGCACAAGAAAAATTTTAAATTGTTGTAAGAAACATAAAATGAATACAGTTATAAAAGAGAAGGATAAAACTGAACAATTAGCTCAAATTATGTTTATGCAAGTAACACCTTAGTTTCTCCAAGCGAGGCAGTCACTGTTTATAGCTACAGCCAATAATTACATCAAATTCTCCTGCCCTAAAGGAACTGAGTTACTGCTATGAATTAAAAGTAATTAGCTCATCCCTAGCTAAAGAGATCACAAAAAGAGTCAAGTTCAAAGTCTCTTATTGCAAAAATTTGAGTAAAGTCTTTAGAGAAGACTAAAGAAAAGCACATAGCTATCTCCAGATGCACCACAGGGTACTGAGAAAAGGAAATAAACCTTATTTATACATTTACCTTAATAACTGTAATTAAGACAGTGAAATCAATAGTCTAGAAGTTGTAAAACTTTCACAGATGGAGAGTGAATTTGAAAAAGAAGTTTGACAAAAATCTGTCAGGAACAGGTCAGAGAAACCAGACCCACCTCCGAAGGGAAGGGGAAAAGGCACAGATGGTATCTCAAAAGTTTTTCTTTTCAACCATTTCACTCCTACATAAAGTCAACCTCTGTCCTGTGATCTGTACCTCTAAACTACCCATGCCTTCACAAGGCGTAGAGCTTGATGGCTCCGAAAGCTCCAATGTGAGGGACAGACAGTGCCCTATTACACCATTATACCTATAAAGCCACCAGTTCCTACTGCTTTCCCCAAGACTGGAGAAAAAAAATAAAAGCCGACCTAGGGAAAGAAAGGGTTTAGGGCTCATAACCTTCCTGGCCATGACCAAAGCACACCACCAGGACTGCTCAGAAGCATGTTTTTTGTCTCAGATTACACGTACCTACAGCTAACCATTCTGCAAGTGGAAGAAAATACTTCGTCAACACATGACAGAGATGGAATACGCACAAGTGATGACAGAGGGTGTCGTGGGACAACTTACTCACTGTTCTCTTAAAATAATATTGAAGGCTGGGATTTAAATATGATGGGAGTACACTATAATACGCTACCAGGAGACAGCCAGTAACTGGTAAGTGATAAAATCAAACTTGTAGCTGCAAAACAAAGGCACATGCTCTCAAAAGGTATGTAGGAGTTTTAGAGGTAAGTCAACAACAGAAAACAGCTATTCAAGTGACAAACTATCCTAAGAGACAGAAAAACATGCAAGTCTTCCATTCTGACCTGTGTTTTATGCGACAGATTGAAAAACCATCCTTACAAATATGCTTCTGAAGTCATCTATTCCCAAACTTATAAAGAAAAGGTAACTAAAAATTTTTATAAATAGCGGAGGAATACCAGGCAACTACCTTCCATAATTTTACATAATGGAAACTACTGTTAGAATAGGTAACACCAATGATTCAGCGCATTAATAGTAGTCCTACAGCCTTCTCCTCCATACAACAAAAGGTAAGTTTTTATTTATCTCTTCCTGTTTCATTATCTAATCATTTTGTTACATAAACTGTTACTCGATTTTTATTAGCTCCCTTCTGAAATCTTTAAGTGTCACACACAGAAAAAGCATCTTCTATCTCTATGTAGTGTTCTAGATACAACTACAGAAAAGCTCAGCGTCAATTCATTACTCACCTAGCTTTACACAGAGCAGTGTAAAACTACAGACATGTGTTTATCCAATAACCTATCTTTCCCACCTCCAGGGTGCAGGACAGTGTTGGATGTTACCACATGTAGCCTGACCTTCCCTGCTTCTTTAAGAGTTGCCACCAGATTGCAACTTTTTAGTAAATTCTTATTCCTAAAACATACATATTTAAGTGTAATCTCACAGTAATTCAAGACATAAAAATAGCTCATTGCATTTGCCTTTCTGCTTGCCTATTCAAGGATCACAGACTAAGCTGCAGTGAAGACCTACTGTGATATACACAAAGTCCTGCCTTGGAGAAACCCAAGGGGAAAAAGTCACCAGAACCAAAAAAAACCTTAAAATATAAATGGTTAATGAAGATGCCATCTGAAATTATAAAAATCTCCTTTAAAGTATGAAACTTAAGACACCTTCCATAAACTGGCATTAATTGATCACTGCAAAGATAAGTCCCTATATAAAAACATTAAAAGTGCAGACCTTCTGCTCTGGAAAAGACTCGCAAATTGAAAAACTAATCAGTAGGTTGTCAAGTTTTCCTCCTGCTACTTAGAACTGATGTCTGAGATGACACAGGGAAAAGGTATGCGAGTTTCAATGACACCACTTATGAAAGCAACAGTCACAGCTGAGGCAGGCACTAGAGTTATTTATGTAAGAAGACAATCTGAAATGGAAGCTAGGTTGTGGCATATCAAAAACTGATCTTGACAGCAGCCGAGAGGTTGAGAGCACAGAAGGGTAACTGAGATAAACACCATTCACCCTGGTAATCCTTATTTTTATCCTAGTAGTTCCATTTCATTATGTAACGTTTTCAACTATAAAGTCCAAAATCTGTCAGAAGATAATTTCCATTACAAAAATCCTAGCATGTCCTTGTCTCCCCCATATTTCAGGGCCTATGAAAAGAAACTGGACTTCCGTGATATGAATTTCATCTTTGCTATCTTTCCATGACTGCAGAAACTGACACCTTCGAATTTATTAATCTGTGAGTTTTCAAGTAAGGCAAAAAGATTTAATGTGAATTTAAGATGATTATTCGCTTCTGGGAGAGAAAAGGTATTGTACCTCCACAGACTAATTCAAATTTTGTCTGCAAGATCTCTTACTGCTCTCAAACTAAGCATCTTTTAAACACGTAATTAGAATGGTAGATCTTTAACGGTGTGAAAAAGAAAAACCATGACAGATAGTTAATATCTGGCTAAAGAAACAAAGATCAAAAAAATGGACCTGAACTCCTTTTATTGCAAAAGTTAAGTCATGCTTCAGATTACAATATTCACCTCGCTAGAAGGTGACTCACGTAACAGTAAACATGAAAACTTGTATTAATTCTGGAAACAAAGCTGAAACAAGCACTTCAGGGGACTGCTGATTAAAAAAAAAAAAAAAAAAAAATCACCTTTAATCCTTGTGCTGTATGCATGCTTCAAACCATTCCCTCATGGGATTGATCAAAAATAGTTTTCATTCATGGAGATTAAAGCTAAAGACAACATTGAGTTTTCGAAGTATAAGGGAATTTATCTAATTATCCCTGAACTACAGCCAAGAGTTGTGTTTGATTACAGCATATTTTGAGGAAAATATATTCCGAAGACAGAAAAGATGGAGAATTAACCATTTCCTCTGACACTTTACTGTAATGGTTAAGTACTGTTTGTCTTAAACATTTCCAACAGTTAGAGAACTGCATCTAATCCAAACTCATGTAGGTTACAACTGCACCAAAGTTAACAACCCCGGAATCACCCAACTGTCACCTTTGCTGCAGTCACAGTCAAGCTGAAATAGCTTTTGCTAAACCAGGGTTAAGGCAACATACAGGAATCACATCTGTTTCACTACTGCCCTGCAGACAGAATTCTACCTTGAGAGCTTTTCACAAACACTGGAATCTGCGGGGGTGTGGGGGGGTGGGGGTGGGGAAGGTAATAGAAAGCAACTTTTAAAAACTATCCTGTTTTCAACAATCCAAGCTAAAGTTCGGAATAGTACTTTGGGTCACAATGAAGCCAAACTGCTGCGAACCCCCAAACCCTTAATGTAAAGCTGCTAACATTGCCTATGAAACACAGCTGCCATGACAGAAGAAGACTGTGAAGTTAGAGGGCACTTTTATCAACAGGCAGATACCTCACTAAACTCATAATTAAGCTCATAACAGAACTGATGCTAAATCTTTCCTTCTTATATTGATACCACAGTGATGGGGAAGGGCAACGGTACAGTTGTAGCTCCAAAGGTTATTTTCCTGCAGGAGAACAGGAGTGAAGGTAGCAGACCAGAAAAGACATTTTTTTTTGTCTGCTAGTACCTGTAGATAATAATTTCCTCTTGTGTTGTGGACTGATTTTTTTATCAAATGTATGTACAAGTTTTGCAGAATCAGTCTCAAACAGGTAAACTGCCCCATGGTGTATAAGGATTTGGATGAGTTAAGCACATGCATAAACCTGCAGAAGAACAAAGACTTGATGTGTAAGCTTCTCATGAAAGAGATCATGTGTTGGTTATAAAGCAGAAAACACATTTATAGTCCTATAATAACACCAAACAATTGCTCCTCTCAAAATATTTTACAATGCTTAATGAGAAGAATAGGAGAGGAGGCCATCTGAAAACTTTCCAGTGCTTAATAGAATGCTTAGAAAAGCAAAGTCCAACCAACCATACTGGGGGGGGGGGGGGGAGGGCAGAGAAGAGGCTAAGTTATCCACACAAATTGCAAACGTTAGACCAGTATTATATAAACCAAACAAACAACAAAACACACCTGCTGAAATGAGTTCAAATCAGAAAAGACAGTTTGCAGCTAAGGTACAAAGACCTGGACTGTCCTCCCATCTTTGTCTCATTACATGACCTTAGATGAGTCACTGAACCCCTATATAGCCTTCTTGCAATCCATTCATTTGGGCAGTATATGAAGCAGAATTTAAGCTTCTAGAGAAACATGAATTGGAACTAGAGTTTTGCTTTTTTGCATACATGCTTGTGACATTATTCTGAAATAAGATTACTTGTACTATTTCCATGCACACCCCATTTAACAATCTGACCCACAGATGAAATTAGAAAGAGACAGAAA